GAATAAATCCTCATATCGTTGATACCATGTGTCAAAAGTGACATTAGCCTCTGGGTCATAATTGAACTGTGAAATACTGTTCACAATGCCGTCGACAGATGGTAGCATGGTATGATTGGGATTGCTTGAAGGTGAAGCTGGACCAGTCTGTTGGTTGACGAACATTTCCATTAATTTCATTTGTCGTTCAAACAATAATTCCAATTTAGAATAATCCATAGTAAATTGTTATGTTGCTGCTGCTGAGTGGTTAATAGTAGTTTTTCCCCGTCGCCAAATTGTTATGTACTCGTCGCTAAATTATTGTTATGGTCTGGTCGAGAAACTAATAGTCCTGACGCGAGAAGGCGGAAATCAGAAGACCACTAGGTTTGCGATGATACTTCTATTGTCCAAACACAAGGAGACGAAAATAAATGGTCTCACACCAAAGTGGTAAGTAAGTAAAGTAGTTCACACAAATTGTGAATGCAAATATATATATGAATGTTCCAGACAAAGCGTGGGAATAAATCATTAGACAGTCTTAACATGGATGGCTAATTATAATGAAGTGTCGATCCAAATATACATAGCGAATATAGCAGACATGTCAACAAACATATATGGATATATGTCACCAAGCAACGGACTATCAACAAACACACATATTATATATAATATAAGGAGAATATGCGTTGTTAAAGGAGACAAGTTCATACAAGTGAAATGGTCACAGACTAAGAGAGCAAACAGAAAGAGAGACCAACATACACACACACATAAATATATATATGGGGATACATATCACAGTCTGTTATATTTTGCTATGTATATATGGATCGATATTCCATTATAACTGACAGTGTGCTTTTGTCTGTCCATTAACTAAATAAACAATGTATGACCTTCTTGTCACATGACATTACAACCAATCATGTTATTTTCATATATACTTTTGCATTGTACACTTTTATACACTTGTTCACACATTTCGTACACTACGTACCCTTCACTCTCACACTTGTATGACAGTCATTATTTTCCTTGTTTGGAAAATACAAGTATCATCGTGAACGAGGTGGTCTTCTGATTTTCCTCTTTCCGCGTCAGGACAAATAACCACTTAGCAGTACATTACAGTCTTAAATGTAGATATTTCCTTTTTTGGAAATTCAAAACGCATCACTACTGAAGATGAGTTTGTAACAGACAGCATTATGGTAACTTCCGGAAGTTGTAGATCATATCAAAAATACACGTTAAGTTGTTTATAGCTTTTGTATCTAATCCACTGACAATTCTAAGTGATTCGTGTCTTTTCTTAATTTCAAAGGCTTCATCAACTGATGTGAGGCTTTTGTTTGACCACCCCTAACTGTTTTCCAACCTAGTCCTATGTCAGTTAACACTGCTTATCGAGGAAGGTGGTGGTTCAGCATGCCCAAGACGTGTCCTAGCCATCTCAATCAAAGTAGCCTGACAGCGTCATTGACTAACTTATCCTTGTTAAATAACATTACCATTGCTTACCATATTGTGCCAATCAACACAGTAGATAGAACGTAAACGTCTGTCGTCTAAGACTGGTGGCCTCTTCATCATATCTCCCACTGTCAATGGCTGTGTCTCTATCGTAAACATCGAGATCTTTGTCTTCTACACAGATCAGCCTGAAGTGGTTCAGATACAGCATCCCAGTGTTTAAATTACACTTAATACCAAATTTCGGATTTAAGCAGGCCTTCAAGTCAAATTAATGAGACAGGAAGAATAAGTTTTATCCATTTTTAATCAAGGACACGATAAATGTGTAGTATCTTAGTCGCTTCCACAATATGAACAAATAGCCGACTCTGATATAAACTTGATATAGCTTTTAATACAAACTTACAATATCTGTGAGCGGACGAAATGCCCTTACTCAGAAAAATAAGTGAGAATCTTGAAGTATACACTTAATGCAACGAGCCAACTGTAGGTGGGAGTGTTAAAGCGCTCAACACTACTATGCGGAATATAAGAACAAGCGGGTTGTCACATATCTACGAGATACAATGATTTTCTAGCTCATGGCTATTTTTAGGCGGAATATAACTTTGACTGAGGTATTGCTTTTTAACAACGCTCAAGTACGGTGCTTCTCGCTTATGACATTTGAAATACCCTCAAACTTTCTCCGTGCCTGTACATATCTTCACTCTGTTACCCTATATAAAATTAATCCCTCAGTAGCCGGTCAAGTTCCGAATCAAGTAAAGCTCTGTGCTCTTTTGCTGACGGCGTATTTATCTTTGGTTAGAATGAATTTGACTTGTCAAACTGTAGATGGTATTTTGATTAGTAAAAGCACAGGACATATTCTTCATTTACCAAGTTCTTGGCTTATATGCGTCGGTGGCACAGTGGTTAGGACTCTCGCCGACCATGCACATGGTCCGGGGTTCGAGCCCACGCCGACGCACACCTGATATCTATGGTCGGCCTGCGAATTTTGGGCTACCGATATCCACGCTGAAAATTCCACACTTGTACCAAAAATACGGTGTGGAATCAAGCTGTAATAAAAAAAAAAAAAAACCAGATCGGTCGATAAAGCTTTCCTTAACCTTTCGTCTACAGAACTTATCACTTTTCTCAGTGCACTTCTAAATAAATCGATCTTCCGACTTTGTCCTGCTATCAGTTGAGCTAAGCTACTCATGCATATCACTTTTCGTGCAATCAGTCAATTTCTATGAGATAAAGCCTATCCAGTCTTTACAACCCCTAGTAGCAGCAAGGTAACAACGCAACCAAAATCTCAAGCAAATCCTATCCTAGATGACCAGGCAAAACTACTGAATCACTACCTAGAATTTCTGTAGTAGTACGTTTTGAAGCATCTGCTGTTATTGGTTAAGGAAATATTAGAGGTTACATAGAAGGTTTGGAGTGGACAAGGGAACAACCGTACTCTACTTGCCATGCAGCTTTGTGTAAGCGGTAAATTTGTTGTAATGCCAAAAAATCAATAATGTGAAGCAGATTGTTTTAAATAAAGTGACTACTGACTCACTGGAGAGAAAAAAAATAGCGCAAAACAGCAAAGTTAAATGCAGTGAGTAACTTCAGTCATTAAAGTTGTGAAATTAGTACTTTTTGTCAATCTTTTATTAACACACAAAGTTCAAAACCTTATAACGAATACGTACTACTGCATTCTTCTATGCATTCATTTTGTCTGTCTGTTTTCGACATAGAACTTTGCACAAATGTGAGGAAGTTCAAGTCGCCACATTCCGTGTAGCACGCGAAGCAAGAGAAGAGAGTACAACAAAAGCATAATAGAAACAGTGAGCAGAGGTGTGAGACAAAGCAAGAGTAATAACGAAGAACAAACAGTTTCATTGGAGATCATAAGTCACAAGGAGTGGATGCATCTGCGCCACTGAGAACGATTTTGAGCCATGTCACCAATTGTTTCCAACCATAGATTTTTACCGTCCCGAGGACCCCAGCCTGGAAGTCTACACCTTTCTACGTGGCTTAGACCAACTGTTGTAGATTTCATTGACTGATGCCAAGTTTTTGTTTGACCGCCGCTAGCTTTTTTCCAGCCTGACCCTATATCCGCTAACATTGCTCGTCGAGGGAGGCGATGACTTGGCATACGTAACACATGTCCTAACCATCTCAGTATTTGTAGCTTCACGACTTCGTCGATTGATTTCCCCTGTTTACCTAGAACTCGGCGTCTAACCTAAATGTTGCTCACCTTATTATGCCACTTTACACGGGAAATAGAGCGCAGGCACCTATGATCAAAGACAGCTAGCCAGGCTTTTCATGTCTTCCACTCTCAGTGGCCAGGTCTCACAACCATAAAGGAGGACGGAGCGGACTGATGAGCAGTACACCCGCCCTTTGGTCGATAGTCGGACATCTCGTCTACGCCAGAGTCGGCGTAAACGAGCCCCTTGTATTCGTGCTGAGATTTCGTCAGAGATCAACCCGTTGGCACTGGCTGATGGTACTTCCCAAATAAGTGAAGCAGTCAACGTGCTCTACCACTTCACTTCCTATTTTTAAACTAGGCGTCCATGTAGTCCAGTCCTGTAACATCATCTTGCATTTGGCGGGAGCGAATCGCATGCCAAACATCCGTAGATTGCGGCTCAAGGTGTTTAGAAGACTCTGCATTTCGTCAGCGTCTTCGCCTAGAAGGACTATATCGTCTGCATATTCCAAGTCAACGAGATTATTCCCCGGTAGCAAGTCAATCCCTGAGTCGCTGAAGTCACCTAGGGTTAAGTCCATTAACACATCTATGATGAAGTTGAATAGAAAAGGAGATAATGGGCATCCTTGACGGACACCACTGGTCGTCATCAGTTCAGATGACAGCTCGCCGTAAGCCCTCACCTGGCTGCATGAGTAGGAGTAGAGTGCCTTAATCAGTGCAATATATTTTCTTGGAATTCCCTTTACAGCCAAGCATCTCCAGAGATGGTTTTGAGTTAACTATCTATCATGAGAAGTCACCTAGTCGTGTTACGCCGATTTCATCCAGACACACTTATGAGGATAATTAAGTTGGCATTACTACAGACACTGTTTCGATGCAATATAAAAGTCAAGAAGATGATTTGAAGCAATTCTTCTATTCAACACCATTGAAAATACAAAACAAAATATCTCAAATAGTAGTTGGTCGAAATTAAAATCAACAAAGTAACAGATACAATATTAAGATAACTTAAAAAAAAACAAGTAACAACACGTCAAAAATACGCAACGACTTTTATCTTCTGAAGGTGTGTTTTCCAAACACAATAATAAATATACGAATAAGTATGAACATAAATATCTGGGGTAAAATTAAAAAAAATTATCTACATAAGGTTAAATAAGATACTTAACAGTTATAAACACTCTGAAATCTTAAATATCTAGCTATACAATGCAATCGGATATTATTAATTGTTATGTACAAGGCATAAATTACAGAACTACTACTGTTCAAAAGGAAACAGTAAATTCTACAGAAATTTAGTAGCACCAGGCGACAAAGTAATCATAGCAAACTTTGTAAGGACAGGAATACGCTCGTTAGGCGATTTATCTAAAAATGAAGAATTGGAATTATTCGATTGCTTTCGCTTCTTAATTGGTGTACATTCATCAGAACTAGTTACACTGTTACCATAATATTTAAATGCTGTTCCATCTGGAATCGGTGATAATTTGACCTGGACAATTGGTAATTCATTTTCCATTAACATATTTAATTTAGGGGATGATGGTGAAGAAGTGTGAGTTTTTGATGAGCAATATTTTGTTCGATTTGCTGGAAAAGATTTATCCGATTTGATTTTATGCTGATTGTTTGTCTCACTTTTATGATCACCACCATCATCTGCATATCTGTCTGATGTTACCCACATATTAAAACTGTTGGTAACCAGTGATAATGCTGAACGTAGTCGTTGTTTAATATTATCTGGAACAACTAAACATTCTTTAGGAATAACATTGATACTGAGTGAATCAGTGTTTTGACGTGTTTCGGAAGGTGTATGACACTTGGGAGTTTCCAAAGTGTCCGGTTTTTCGCCAGCATCAAGATCTACTGGTAAAGTTCTTAGTGTTCTCTTTGTCTCGTGGCTAGATGAATGGTGTTTGGTATCATTAGTACGCTGCATAAAAGATCTACTGTATGCTGAGAACAATTCCCAATTGTCATAAATAGATTCACCCATATGTACATTTTTGAGTAATTCACTAGGCACTAAATTGTTATGAGCTTCAAGAATAGATAGTTGAAGTGTAGATATACGCGACATCCTCTTCAATAACGCCTCTTTTCGACGCTCCCTTTGCAGAGTCAAATCTACTATCATTCTTGTCTTGTCGAGACCGATTCTAATACGTTTGAATGATTCAAATGCTTTCATATCGGCATTAGCTTGTTCTACACGCGCTAGTTCTTCTTTGGTTGAAGCAGCTATCTCATCTGCACTTTCTTTCCATGTTACAGGAATTGGATATATTAAAGGTTGATTATACTTTGAACGTCTTTTCAGACGCCAGTATGCAAAGATAGATGTACGAATATCTTTGGGAACGCTTTTCTGTTCATTAGCATTTAGGATAGCAGAATATTTAAACTGTGATTTTATTGAGCTATTATCCAAGCACATGTTTAGCTCTGACTCATCTACTAATTTTTGAAAATTATATTCTAGATCAATTAACCTATGAATAGTAAAAAACAAAAATGATCGTAAAAAAATATTCACAAATTTACAAAAATAAAAGTATTCATGGTGTTATGCCCGCAGATGTTCAAAGAGATGGGTGGAAAGGCGAAGTAATCAATAGCACAAAGCCATACAACGAAGATGAGGAAGAAGTAAAAAGCAAAAAATGTGACACAACAGTTGACATGAAGACAACGATGATGTAATTGGTCCTCACCTCAGCTAGATGTCTCCAAGCCCATGCGACGCATTGAATCAATAGAGAAGGAAGGATTGGTGCCATTCTACATATGTTATATTCATTTTCCTTGCAATTCTATTACAACTAATTTAAGGATTGGCTACTGAGGCTGACTACATGTCCCAGCCATCTGTTTTACTCAGGAACCACCCTATTTATTCGAGTGATGGTTTCGCTGCTTTCCAAGACAGCTAACTAAATGCTTCAAACCTTCACGAATCTTACAGTTCTATTAGTAATGCTTCACGACTACATAGTAAAACAGCCCACTATTACACTGTACACCGGATACTGAAGGTCAATCAGATATTCTTCGGATTACAGTGTCGAAACCAAAGCGATTTTCTGCATCCATCTGCCTATGTCTATCTGGATTCAACATAGAACTTGGATACGAAGTGCAGCAGTTCCCAATAGCACACAAAGGTAGACAAGAAGATGAGTGAAGAGAATTGATAGAGCTTCACAAGTATAAGAGTGAAACAGAATGGGTAATGGTAGAAAGGAATATGAAAGATTACAGAGACTGAATACATCTGCGCTGGCCATTGACAACGATTTTGAGCCATGTCACCTATTGTCTCCAGCCATTGATTCTTAGAGTCCCGAGGGCCCCAACCCGGAAGTCTGCATCTCCCTACCTGACTCAGTTTAACTGTCAAGGATTTCATGGATTGATGCCATGTTTTTGTTTGGTCACCACTTACTCTTTTCCAACCTGCACCTATATCAGCTAGTAATGCCCGTCGGGGGGAGGCGATGGTTAGGCATGCGCAGCACCTGACCTAGCCATCTCAATCTATGTGACTTTATAGCCTTGTCGATTGGTTTTCCCTCTTTGCCCAACACTACGCCTAAAGTCAACATTACTTACCTTATTAAACCACCTAACGTGAGAAAGAGATCGCAGACATCTATGATCGAAAGCAGTCAACCTTTTCATTTCTTCAACTCGTATTGGCCACGTTTCAGAGCCATAGAGAAGGACGGAGCGAACTGCTGAGCAGTACACACGTCCCTTGGTTGATAGCCGGATGTCACGCCTACGCCAGAGATGGTGTAAGTCAGCGAAAGCAGCTCGAGCTTTTCGGATCCGTGCTGAGATTTCATCGCCAATCAGTCCGTTGGTGCTGATACAACTTCCCAAATAGGTGAAGTGGTCAACATGTTCTATCACTTCACTCCCTATCACTAAGCTAGGAGTTGGCGTAGTCCAGTCCTGTAGCAGTATCTTACATTTTGCAGGGGCGGATCGCTAGCCAAACATACGAAGATTGCTGCTCAAGGTGTTCAGAAAACTCTGCATTTTGTCAGAATCCTCCCCTAACAGGACTATGTCATCTGCATATTCTAAGTCCATAAGACTATTCGCCGGCAACAAGTCGATTCCTAAGTCGTTACGTTCAGTTAAGGATACTTCCATCAGCATATCTATGATGAAGTTAAACAGAAATGGGGAAGGTGGACATCCCTGCGGGACACCACTGGTTGTTATCATTTCAGGTGACAATTCCCCATAAGCCCTCACACGACTACGTAAGTTTGAATAGAGTGCCTTGATTAGTGCAATGTACTTTCTTGGCACTCCCTTCACAGTCAAACATTGCCATAGTACCTTTCGATCCACGTAGTCGAAGGCCGCCTTTAAGTCAAGAAATATGGAAATTGTTGGACACCGAAAAGTGTGTCTATGTTCTAGAATATGTCGGAGAGTGAAGATATGATCTATGCACCCTCTACCTGGTCTAAAGCCTGCTTGATTTTCCCTCGTTTGTTCCTCTCGAGTTCTGCTTAGTCTATCCATGCTAAGTTTCCATACACCGCCAATTCACTTGTTTTACCCAACCTCTCAAGTAATTGAAATGATCACCTATTCCACTGTGTTAACTGTGACACGAGGTGTCAAAATTAACTGTCGGCTGAATTGTGCACAAAGCTCTACTACATCTGTCTGTCTATCTGTTTTCGACATAGAACTTTGCACAAATGTGAGGAAGTTCAAGTCGCCACACTCCGTGTAGCACGCGAAGCAAGAGAAGTACATGAAAAGCATAATAGAGACAGTGAGCAGAGGGGTGAGACAAAGGAGTAATAACGAAGAACAAAACAGTTCCATTGGAGATCATAAGTCACAAGGAGTGGATGCATCTGCGCCACTGAGAACGGTTTTGAGCCATGTCACCAATTGTTTCCAACCATAGATTTTTACCGTCCCGAGGACCCCAGCCTGGAAGTCTACACCTTTCTACGTGGCTTAGACCAACTGTTGTGGATTTCATTGACTGATTCCAAGTTTTTGTTTGACCGCTGCTAGCTTTTTTCCAGCCTGACCCTATATCCGCTAACATTGCCCATTGTCGAGGGAGGCGATGGCTTGGCATACGTAACACATGTCCTAACCATCTCAGTCTTTGTAGCTTCACGACTTCGTCGATTGATTTCCCCTATTTACCTAGAACTCTACGCCTAACCTAAACGTTGCTCACCTTATTATGCCACTTTACACGGGAAATAGAGCGCAGGCACCTATGATCAAAGACAGCTAGCCAGGCTTTTCATGTCTTCCACTCTCAGTGGCCAGGTCTCACAACCATAAAGGAGGACGGAGCGGACTGATGAGCAGTACACCCGCCCTTTGGTCGATAGTCGGACATCTCGTCTACACCAGAGACGGCGTAAACTGTCATATGCGAAACTAGCCCTCTGTATTCGTGCTGAGATTTCGTCAGAGATCAACCCGTTGGCACTGGCTGATGGTACTTCCCAAATAAGTGAAACGGTCAACGTGCTCTATCACTTCACTTCCTATTTCTAATATAGGAGTGGGTGTAGTCTAGTCCTGTAACATCATCTTGCATTTGGCGGGAGCGAATCGCATGCCAAGGTGTTTAGAAGACTCTGCATTCGTCAGCGTTCTCGCCTAGAAGGACTATATCGTGTGCATATTCTAAGTCAACAAGATTATTCCCTGGTAGCAAGTCAATCCCTGAGTCGCTGAAGTCACTTAGGGTTAAGTCCATTAACACATCTATGGTGACTACTACATCTTATTATCAATGTCAGTAGACAGAACAGTATCGTATGTGTACTGTATGTCAACTGATGAATTTTCCACAAGAATAGTCCCTATGTAGAGCCAGACAGCTTTACGTAAACACTTTTGTGATAAACATGAAAAAGAAAACTAGGAATATTGGGAGTAATTAACGAACATCTTTGAAAGCAAATACCTCAAGAAAAGAAGTGACTACAAGTGTTAGCTTATAAAAAGTCCTTATGAAGGTGGCATGCCTCTATTTTAACTTTCTTTAAATCAAATATAAGTCTTTGATTCAGATTTTGAGTTGGTTATGATTCGACCAATTTCAGTGCAGATTTTGTCGCTAAGAGAAACACTGAAAACCAAGGTTGTTGGGACAGACAAGCTTCTTTGTTAGCCGTGAAGTCATGATTTACGCATGCACCGAAATGACAACCTGATTCGTCTTTTTTCGCCTTTAATTCCTCAGGTTTTGTAAATATTCTATTGCCATGTATTTTGTTTAATAACCATTGTGGTGGTAGTTGTGGTTGTTATCAGTCTTTGTTGTTTTTTTTCACTCTAACTTCTGAGTGGGGGATGGAGTAGCTTCAAGTGACCAGTTGGTTATACTGTCATGATGTCTGGAGAAGCATTCTAGTCAGATTGGATGATTCTACAAACCAATAACAAACCGTAACAACAAAACTGCTCTAGACAGCTGTTTAGTCTTTGTTTGAGTTTTTCCGCAGTGTGTGTCCATGACCACGTACTAGTGATCGAACCAAGGGCCTTCAGATTACGATCATTGGGGTTGGATAGAATCCAAATGAATCTGACTTGTGCTGATTTGTGATATAGCGCTGCCGTTAATCAGTGCAAACCGTTAGCGTCTTCTCTATGCCTACCTGCATGATGCAATCCGAAAATGGTCGCGATTTCTCATTAAAACTTTGGGACACTCATCCTAAGTCTCAACTAATACATTATATACCACAATTGTAGATTAATCACTACATAAAATACTAACAGTACGATAAAAGTTTGCACCGAGATAGTGATTCAAATAACTAACCTTTGTTGACGTGTGATAGCAACCGGTTGCATGGAGTTACCGAAGTTTTGATGTGCATCAAGCGTCTTACCGGGAGAAAATAATTCACACATCCCTGAAGAATGGTGAGTTGAAGATAGCTGTTCTTTTCTCGAATGCTTTCGACACAATGCCTAGAATGAACAAGTAGTTGAATAAAATAATACTGTATAGGATTGTTAGTTTTTATTTATACATTTTCTATAGTTTGGTTTGTAAGGGTTAGTTATGTTTTTACGAGTTGATCACGGATTGATATCATTTAGAGAACCATTGAAAACCAGGGGGTACTAGACAGCTCCTGTTTCATCCTAGTTTGAGAATCATCGACAGTACGCACCTACCGGGATTCGAACCCAGAACCTTCCGGTTACAAGGCAAGCTCGTATACCATTCAGCCACTGGGACCCGATTCAATGGCCAGCTCATGAATTCTAACTTCTACCAGTTCATGATTTAGCGCGACCCCAACCACTGTCGTTGGTGGGACATCCATCAACACACACGTGACATCTAATTGGACCTCACTGATTAGAATGTTAAGAGGAGTGCCAAGAAAAACAAGACACGTCTTTGTGAAAAGCTGGCAACAGAAGCCGAAGAGAACGCAGGTTAGAGTTCCCAACACTGTATCAAATAACGTTGAGCTGGTCACTTCAAATGAATCTTGAAGTAATCACCACACACAACTCTTTCGGAAACTTTTTATTTAAACACAAGAAACCTGGTACCGAATGGCACCAAGAACATACGCCACACAATAATAATAAAACAACACAGATTAAAAGTAAAAATATAGGTGGAGAACGGATAAAGAACTTCATCTGAGAGGAAAACAGTCATACTTAACAAGTCTGAACATCATTCGTCAATTATCATCGGGAAGGGAAGAAAGAAGGAAATTGGAGTACGTTCGCCATTGCTTACGATTCTTGATCATATCTGATGACCTTCCGCTCTATCTCTCGGACTCCGACCAGGGACCTCAGAATTACTCACGCAATCGTACCATCGAACTCAAGCAATTCTGCGATATTCGAGTATGCAGAGTCACCGCACATCCTCACCTCGGAGAGGCCAGGTTTCACAGGCGTAGACCAAGACAGCCAGCACCGAAGCATTGTATACCCAAACCTTGATAGCCAGGTTAACGTCGCCAGAGATGGTTCAAGTTAACGTATACCACCCTAGCCTCCATGATACGGTTGAAATCTCATCCGCCATACCTCCGCCACCACTCACACAACTACTCAGATACACAAACCTATCCAACAACTTCAAGCGGTTCACCTGCAGTAGTGAGTATACGTATAGGCTCCTGCTAATCTTGTAACAGTACTTTGCACTTAGACGGCGCAAAGCACATACCATACTTACAGACACTGATCACCAACTGATTAAGTGCGATTTGGGCACCCTGCATGCTATCGCACAGTAAGACGGTATCGTCTGCATACTCGAGGTCGAAAAGTCTATCTCCAGGTAGCAGATCTACACCACCTTCATGCACATCCTTCAGAGCTGACTCCAGAATGTCATCGATGGCAAAGTTAAAGAGAAATGGAGAGATAGGGCGACCCTGTCTAACCCCACTGTTGGTTGGGAACAGTGATGATAGTCAGTTTTATGCCCTCACTCTACCTGAGGTGTTTCTGTTTCGGGCTTTCAGGATGTTCACAAACTTCACAGGTATATCCCTCTCTAACAGACAATTCTGTCCAACGAATCGAAGGCAACCCTAATACCAAGAAACACAACGATTGTTGGCCTGCAATGCATATGGTGGTGTTGCAACAACTGACGAAGGGACTAATGATCAATGCATCCACGACCTGAACGAAAACCAGCCTGCTCTTCGCGAATCAATCCCTCACATGTTTTGCACAGGGAGGATGCCAGGTGGCGCTACGGCGATGGCTGTGTATGAAGTTGGTGCTGACTACAAATAAGTTGTGATATCCGGAAAGTTGCAGATGATCTCCATCATCTGACTTGCGATAATGTAAACCACACTGACCACCTAGAAGATTCTCCCCTGAGCTTAGACACCCAAGCTGTGCATTCAAGTCCCCAACCAACACTACGATAACCCTCCGACCCATCTGTTTTAAGAGATCGCTCAGTTGGTGGTAGAACTCACTCTTAATTGCATCCCGGCTGCAATCTGCCGGTGCATAGGCAGAGACAACAAATAGGCACCGCCTATCTGGCCCATCACTCCTTACTTTCGTATAACCTTCCAGCCTCAGCACGTAAACGACTGTTAATGGAGACCCAGTCGAGTAATACAGCTTCGGCTCTAGCGCTCAGTGCGACACCGACACTAGCTACGCCGGATGCCGACTCCACAGGGTCCCCAGATAGGCGCAGGTGGTAAATACTATTCGAACTTTCAGATGAAGGAGGTAATCGAAGCATTTCACTGAGATCTTGAATGCGGGTTTCCGAAATCCAGCAGACATCTATAGCGAGGTATTCCAATGTTTTTACCAATCCTGTCTGTTGTTCGATTAGCATTAGTGTCCGAACATTGTAGGTGACCAGCTTGAATGCGACACGTGGTTTCAGGATATCTGTGTTAGGTGTTTCATTGGGGACAACCATTTTGAAGGCGACTCACCAACATGTCGAAACAGCACAGATGGGTTGGGAATTCAGACGAAGGTGAAAGGCTGACGAAAGTGAAGATGTCAAGGTTAGCTAAAGTAAAATACAGGAGTCTACGTATAAAAATAAAAGTAAAGTTGGAAAGAGATGTGTCACTTGAAACATCATTATTGTTTGAGAGCAATGTTAAGAGCTCGCGATAAGTTTTACTGACAGTGTTGCTTCATTTCAGAAATACCACCAGCAGATATATAATTACCAGTGAACATCAACCCACCGAAAACACGAGTCCTGAAGGCTGTTACAAAATGCTAGGAAATCAGCAGAACCAGATGAGATTCCACACATAAGCATTGAATACGAACCCAAAGATGGTAGGGTACAGGCTAATGCCACTACTGCCTTCAGAAGGGGAAGTACTTTCCTATTTGGAGAAAGGCTACCTTGCCAGAATTAAGCTTAATCTCTGCTCAGTGAAACAGTATTATTTACTGGATGACGTTTCAAAAAAAAATTTATTGTTTATGATTATGAACAATAAAATTTGTTCGAAACGTCATCCAGTAAATAATACTGTTTCACTGTGTGATATATCTAATAAACAAACTAATGTGGAATTACTTACTTCCACATCGCCCAAGTTTTACACATATATTAATCTCTGTTCTTTTCCTAGCAAAATATTGGGTTGAATCATCTTTAAAAGAATAAAAGATGTCACAAATAGAAGAATTCGTTAGGAACAGGCTAGACTCAAAGGAAAACAGAGCATACACGGTCTAGGATTAAATTTACCTACAGATATTTTGTCCTCATTGTCAGTATTAACGAAACACGGTGTAGGCCTGCCTCACTATAGTTAAAACTCACGTGATTTAACATCAACTTTATCTGTTTCTAAAATACAGGGGAATGACAAAATCACGCAAAGATAATAATACAATTACATACCCAGTAGTATTGATGTGTGGAACAAAATGGTGAAGTACATTTACGTACATATAAATAGAATACAATATCCATCCATAATCAACCACCAGTGGTGAGAGTATACATTAAAATGACCAATAATCCCGTGATCATCAAGAGATTGGTGGACTGTCATAAAGTCTATCTATTGTGATTAACACACGAATCTAAGTGCAGGGACTACGCATCATCACCAAACACAGACTAGCATCGATCGCGAAGTAATTTGCAAACTAATTCAATACTAGGGAGGGCTGCAAACACTTATAAGTTACATTCAACAACTATTTGGTTTCATCTCATGACAAGTAATTCATAATGCAAAGCCCAGAGAAGCATCCGAAGTGAAGAAAGGACACATATAAGGCTTCCAACTACCACCGAAGATCTGTCTGATCACAGTAGACCGTCAGGAAGGAAAAAACAGGCATACACCAGACCGACAAGATGATCGTAGAAGATCTGTATTACGTGGATGATTCATGTCTCACGTCACCAAAACCTTAACAAATACAAGTGGAAACCCATGATTTAGCAGCAGAGGCAATGAAGACAAGAATTTAGGCGAGCACATAGAAAACAAAACTGATGAAGGTACCCACGCACTAGAAATACCAATCACCAACAGTGGGAAAAATGTAAGCCTTCCTTCTCGCCTACATGGAGGAATAATAGTTTAAACTTAAGGTAACAGGAATGAAGATATCAAAACCAGTCAAGATGGGGAGAGCAAGATAAACAATAATTACTCTGAAACAAGTGTGAAGATTTACAACACTTAACAAAAAGAGCAAAATCCGAATTTCCAACACCAACGTCACTTTAGAGACCTGGTGCGGTGACAGAAGCATTTTCGATAGACTGTTGCAAACTTTCACTAACACCTGTCTTTAATCGATACAGAAGATCAGATGAGCGACCACAGTGCAAACAGAAAGGAATTCTGAAAGCGACAAGCTGAAATCCAGTTGGCCAACAATTATGCAAAAGGAAACAGAGGTAGGCTAAACATACGTGGAGTAGACGATTGAGAGACATCACGTGCCAAGCCCACGAGTGGAATGCGAAGGGGGAAGTGATGGGCTAGGAGTCGACAAGTAACACAAAGGTCATCTGTAGTGGAAATGACCAATGGAAGTCTTGGACCTATTTTGAAATGAGAGAACTGAATGTAATGAGAACATTCCGCAGAGTCCGCTGCTCCACTCAGAACTCAAGTAATGAGTAATAATAATTCAAGTTACTACACCTCTTTAAGCATATAAAGCTGGGGAGATAAAAGTAGTGGGATAACAAGAAACGGGTCTATCCAGATGAACAAATAATTAAATGGATAGTTGTGAAGAATTTCAGAATCGGGAAAATGACAAGGAGTGAATAAATCTGTACCATATCGAAAAATTTCCAGCCATATCACCAACAGTTCCCCGCTTTGATTACTAACATCCCAAGGACCCATACAAGGTGGGCCACATCTAATTAGGTGGCTCAAGTCAATTGCTCAATACTCCATGGAACAGTGTCATATTCTCGTCTGACTACCCCTATCACTTCCCAACCTAATTTTACTTCAGCTGACATTGATTATGGAGGGCGCTGGTCTGTCATTTGTACTAAGTAACCCAGCTATCTAAATCCACAGCTTCACTAATTTAACAGACTTTTCCGACTTAGCTACGCCTAATTCCATCATTACTTGCCATGTAATTCCACGCCTAGGTTAGAGCGAAGTGGACAACACGTTTATCCACGTAATTGCTTATCTTTAAATAGTCATTGGGTAATTCAGATGGTAAGAGAATTGAGTAATCCAGAAAATAGCCTGGTCATTACCATATATGCTATTGTATGTAACTATACAAGACAGTATTAAAAAATTAATATAGTCGCGTCCAGAGTATTGTCAGTGAATCCTAGTAAATCAATTCATTCAACCTAATACGTGCAAAACCAATGAGGCAATACCAGTTCCAGACGCTTGGAAAATTGTTGTAATAAAGGGGAGGAAAAACTACAGAGCAAGTGAAGTTGTGATTATACAAAGATAGGATTATGACGAATAAATGAAATCTGGTTTTTTACACTGTATATCTGCGTGGAATATCAAGTACATCTATTAAGGAATTACTTTTTAACAGTTCCTTAATTCTACACTTATAGTGAAGAGGATATGTTACGTCACTACTGCTTTTATGACAGTAACAATGTGGCATCCACATGAATATGGGAAACGTATAAAAGACAGAAAAGGCAAACGTGTGACAATATTGTAATTCAGCAGACTATTTGTTGCCGAAACATTCAGATTTTGCATGTTCAGATTTTAAAAAACACGACACTTCAGCTATATCACATGACACTAACAGTGATACAGGCCATTAATATTTTACATCACTGACTTCACAATCAGGTACATACACACGCAAGTGAGTTCCTGTAAAGAGGTCAACAGCATTCATACTTTCAATTCAAACGTTTTTGTTGTTACATTCGCTTTAATGAAACTGTCTTCTTCGCCACAACTGGTAATAGTTATAAACACATAAATATTGACGTACAAAAACAAAAGTAATTTACGGAATAGTCCACATAGTATATGAAGTATAGACATAAACATGAGCGCACTTTTTCGTATGAATGAATCAATTCTAGTTTCTAAACAATTTAGAGGCAGACAAGGAAGTGGAGAGACACAAAGTATCAGAATAGACAAATAGGAACATGAGTAAGAAAGATAACAAATTAATGCATCAAAGATATATGAAATGTGACAACCACCATGACATATCAACAAGCTTATGAAAGAATAAAGTACTACCAGTAGCACTTGGTTAATCGAATAACCTTTGTTAAGACACCGGTCTACTAAGGTTGTACCTATTAGTTGGGACATACTATGACTCATTTGAATCTACCAAAAACAGATAAGTACTCGATAAAATTAGGAAATTAAAATATAGAAAACGATGGCGAAAAAAACTAAAAGTACACAGCTTTAAGCATAAACTAATCAGAAATATGGACCAAGTACAAGAACTAAACTACACGTGTGCCAGAAGTCAAATCCTCTGAGGGTCTATACATTATTATGCGATGTGGAATAACAGTAAATAAAACTAGCTTGAATATACGAATATTGCAATCAGTCTAATGTGAAACTACCAATATTATTACGGTCATCAAAAAAGCAGACTCACCACTAACCGCACATCCTTCTCCACCAGCTCTTGGCGCATGACAAGATTGCTTTGAAACGCGCAAGTGACATGAAATGCTATCTTGCACTTCGGATTGGAGCACTGTACTGGAGCACCATAGCGTGAACGGCATATAGAGCACAGAAGATTACGCCTAGCTTGAGGTATACTGTCCAGTCTAATTACAGGTTCCATGAGTTCTACATTCCCAAAACCAACTTCAGGAATCCATAAAGCACAGCTCACATGGCACCACCGTTGCCCATCTCTAAAAGGTAAATGCATTAATCCACAACATACTCAGACAGTTTCATAGCCCCTCCAGTATTAGGGCATAAACAGCAAGGAGTGGTTGACTTAACACCCGCTTCGCACTGTCTACACATCCACGACCCTTCAGGTATTTGGAGGATGCCATAACAGGCTTGATGAACACACAGGAAACAGCCATCACAAAACACCAACTCATTGCCATCCTCCCCTTCATACTAAGACAATGTGCAATTATTATCGAGAACAAACCGATTGGCAAATATCACACCTAGCGTTTTCGTCAAATTCCAAACACTGCATATCAATTTCCTTGATTTTTTCACGCATCTTAACGTACGTGAGGTATTCTAATGTCGTGATGACTTTTTCTAGCATCCATTCCTTAATGGGAGTTTGCCCAAGGCATTGTCTTTCTTCATTAAGGGTGGAAATCCATGCTTGATCCAAATCATCTATGTGGTAATAAGACGCTTTTTTAATTTTTTTGTCCACTACGCAATGGATAGTATCGTCAAAATTTCCATCCACAAGTTCCACTCGTAATTTATCAGGCCTTTCATAAACAGTTATCCTATTGTGACTTACATAACAAAACGAGAACTCCGCCTCTTGGTACGAGAGGTATCGAGTTTCCTGAAGTTAATACTAAATTATCAATCCTACTTGAAAATAGGCTTAGGTAGAGAACTTGGATCCTTCACTGGCACCTGAACACCTTCCCGATGCCATTCCGACTTCCAAGTATTCAAGATCATCACCAGATCATCTCTGTTTCCACATTCGCCATCAGCATTTATCATCATTGCCGACAGAGGATGTCTATCAAACACCTTAGCCAATACTAAATAATCTGAATTCGCATACTTCTGCAGGTTCTCCATCATTGTTGTCTGGAGACATCGGTTCCCATTGGCTCAGTATCTTCTTAACTTCTTTACAGCGTTCCATCACATCATACACCGAAGATTAGCACAAAACTTGAATAACGCGGCCAAAAGACATTCAGTTTATTTGTCGAAGATTGAAGGCTTAGAGCCTGTTTTAATCCTTTTACAGTGAATTTTCGTGCTTTTCCGAACCCTTCCTGAATTAACCGGTTGAGGTTTCAGATACTACTTGGGCAACTCTATAGAATAGCAGCTCCAACCGAAACTACCTTGCGAACGGACAAATGACCTTGAATAGGACAAATTCGACCAATCAGGAGGCTTAAAAATAACGGCGCTTAATTGTAATAAATCATTTATATACCAGTAATGCAATGTTAAAAAACAGTTACAAAGGACAATTTTCTCGTATATGTTGCAAAAAAGCCTCCCAATTTCTCATGGGAGTCTTGATACTCATGTTAAACCAAGTCCTGTAGGTAAACTCATAGAGATAACCATGTATCATTGAATTCCTTGATCCATTCACAGATCTGATACTTTTTTAGGTAACTCCTTAAACTTTCGATGGAATTAGTGTGAGTTCCATCAAAAGTATTGAGGAAATCATTTGTATGGTTGACCACTTGATGAATATAGCCCAGATTCGATAATTGACTGTAACTATTCCATTCATCTGTATGAATAGTCGTCCCAGGCAGCATTAAGTGCTGGATAATAGGCAATAATACGCCTGCACTGCGTTTAGGGGTCGCCTAAATATATCCTTTCTGGAGGCTAGTGTCATATATCCCCAAAATCTATTACTGATTCCCACTCAATCTCACTCGATTTTATTTTCTTTTTATCAAAAATACCTAAGGAATCTGTAAATTAAAAACGAACGACATACGTACTCGAGCTGATTTTCTGGTTCGCGACTCATTCCACTAACAAAAACCCATCGGTGCACCTATTGTATCTTTGCTTATGAATGACACCTCAACATTGGCAATTTTTCGACTTTCTCATCAGTCCGATCTCCAAACAGTTATCTAAACAAGATCTGGAGCGAATCTGCGGCGGAAAAGGTGTACAGCATCCATAACTACGTCTGGATAAAACAGAGTCACCTGATTGTTTGCTCAGGGTCATTTGTCCGTTCGCAAGGTAGTTTCGGTTTGGGCTGGTATTCTTTAGAGTTGCCTACTACTTGTTCTCTATTGAGAGTCAGTTCCAGTAGTTTATGACTTGGTGTAAAAACCAATACTCCGAGTCAATATAGTTTCTCTTTGGCTTCTTAACTGTCCTGCTATGTCCTCTAAGATATTCCAACATAGTAGAAAGGAACAAACGGAAATGGATCAGGTTCGCAGTCGCCATTTAAAATGTTAAACATTGTAATGAAATCTCTCTGCTCACGGTATGATAAGGAGAAAAGACTTAAACTCTCAAGTCTTTCCTCATGTGATAAATTAGTCATGCCGAGAATCATAAGTGTTGCCTTCCTATGAACCTCTTCTAGAATATGTGAGTCCCCCTTAAGACAATGACTGGCTGTCTGGATGCGGTTTTCCACTCTTGACCTCGCCAGAGATCTACATAAGGAGGTGAACAAATCTCTGGTGATTATAGTAAAGGCTCTGTGAATTACCTATAGGGACCTGAACTACGTGTAGCCACCGTGTGAAATTGCGCTGTAGTTTTTAATTCGTGGGTTACAATGAAACCCGAATCGAGATGAGTCTGAGCTGATGGGACTGTTATTCCCTCTAGTTCGTAGAAGCTGATACTTGCGTATCCAATGGGCATTGTTGCACATTTTGCTACATTGATCGAAAGAATCCATCCTCTGGACCACTCTGAAAATCTGTTGAGGTCCTTTAGCAACGTGAGCGTATCACTGTTACCCTCCAGCTCTCTCCAGATTTTTAAGTCATCTACACATAAGGCCGTTTGGGAACCGGTGAGCAGATATGACTCATTGATATACAAAATAATTAGGAGAGGTCCGAGTATCATGCCTTGTGGGATTCCACTACGCACTGTTGTAGGGTAGGACAGTTTCGAGTTGATCTCAACCCTCTGCCTCTTATCTATGTGGAGTTCCCTAATCCAGTTTGGTAAGATGCCTTTTGTATCAAGACTTTCCAACTTCATAAGCAGTCTTCTATAAGGAAATTTATCGAAGGCTTTGCTGAAGTCTATGACAACGACGTAAACGGGTCTTCTGTTGTCTCTCGACTCAACCGAGCTCTCTCTTGCTGTAAGAAGATCTGACAGACATGAGAGGTTTCCTCGAAAGCCGTCCTGTGTTCTAGCTAACAAACTGTTGTTTTCCAGGTAAGCCATGATACTTTTCTGGACAATACTTTTTAGGGTCTGCATTAAAGTGCTGCTAAGACTACAAGCCCTATAATTTGAAGGGCTTTGTCTTGACCGTCCTTTGCGCATGGAGTTTACCATGGCGTCTTTGCAGTCACGAAGCAACACTCCATTTAGGAGAGATAGCTTGAAGGTCGTGGTCAATGGGCCGGCTATGTGAGCTGATAGCTTCTTGAAAATACTATGATGAAGATTATCAGGACTCATTAATTTCCCTGCATCTAGTTTCATTAGGCATTTGAGCGCGATGTCTTGATCGACGTCGACAGAATCTATCTCGTATTCCTCTGATGCAACCACAGCTGATCATAAAAAAAGTGATGACTCCTGTATGAAGATTTGGGAGAATTAGTCTGACATCGCTTCTGCTTATTCTCGATCTTCTTCGATTGTGTGCATGTCAGTAGTCAGGCATGGTACAATATTCGATGTCATATTCTTGAAATTCATGCACCACAACTGTCAATGTAGTTGGAGATTGAACGATCAATTCATAGTTGTTTGCTCAAAACCAACTTCCCTATATTTTCGCGGAGGCATCAATACGACAGTCATCGTCTCATCGGTCGCTGTTCAGAAAGAAGTCAGCAACAAACCGTCAGAAGTAATATTGTGATTTATTATTGTAATATTTGTTCACAGACCTTAGTTCAATTATTAGTTTTATATGTTGGTGTTACAATAAAGAATTCTCGAGTGGCCAATCGGTGTTTTGGATTTTTCGTCCGTTATTACTAAGCGTTTCTGAAAACTTCAAGGAACAGCTTAGGACCGAGCGTAGCAAGAGCTGGGCATTGACGGTTTACGAGACGTGGCTGACAGTTTCTGACGATAGAAACAGATCTGGCGGATTCAAACAGTTGTGAAAGTTTGTACAGTCGCCGTTCATTTTTCCTGGTGCCGGTCAAGTCCTCTTTGATCAAGCAATATCTGGAACGTTTTTGGAATTGGGTCAAGTTCAACGATGCCTGGGTCAAGGGAGGGACACAGTATCTTGGATGCAAACAGGAAAGTAAGTCAAGGTGACTTGTCTGTTAATTGTAACGATGTGTCTGATGTTAAGCATGACATGGTTGATGTTACTGTTTCGCCGTTCAGGGATAATAGGAACATCAAACTCCCTGAATTTGAACCGCGGTGTTTCGATGGAAACCCGGCTGATTATTTACAATTTGTAAAGGAGTTTGAGATCATGCTGAGTAGTTTTCTATTAAGTGATGAATTGAAATTGATGTATTTGATGAGGTATTGCACTGGAGATGCTTCAAGAGCTATACAGTGCTGTAAGCTCATGCCCCCTAATGAGGGATACGCTGAGGCTATGAGCATATTACGTCAAAGGTTCGGAAGACCTTCGGTGATTGTAGGGAAATTATTCGAGGCTGTTAAGGGTAATGGTGGTCAATTACAGGATGATTCCAAGGCACTCACCGAGTTTTTAGATAATCTTATGACTTATAAGAATACCTTGATTTCTATGAATTGCATGGGTGACCTCAACTCGAGTTTTAAACTAGAAGTAATAGCGAGACGCCTACCTACTCGACTGCAAAGGAAGTGGGTGAAGATAAGCTCCCGTATGGAGGATGAGGGTATCGAGCCAAAGTTTGATGATATTCTGAAACTGTAAAACAATAGTGTCAATCTATCTATGAGCAAGTTTGCCAGTATATTGAACCTCACCCCTAGAATAGAGCAGTCTGAGGGTAAAACGCAATCATTGATGACGAAAGGGCCTCAGAGAGGTGGATATCGAGGAGGCTCCATGATATCTAGTAATGCATATATACCTAATGAGTGTAACAGGTTTCGTAGTACATCCTCAACAGATAAGTTGCAAGCTGCAAGAGAAACACGGTTGTGTTTTACACGTTTGCAAGCGGTGCATAAAAGGGTGAGCTGTGAACCAGTGAGCAAGTTCAGTGATAAGCTAAATGTGAAATCCAGGCCTGACTCCGAATTGTGTGACGATAACGGTGCGGTGAAGAAGTCTGTAGTTGCGGTAGTTGGTAAGCCATTGTTGAATAGAGTGTCACAGAATAGAGTTACTGCTTCAGAGTGCAGTTCTGACTCCATAAGTTTACAAGGTATTACTAGTCATAGTGAAGGTATAATACCTCTAATGATTTGCGCGGAGGAACCAAAATTGTCTACTTCTGTTATTAAAGAGTTTGTAATTGATGAAGTCGACCCGACAGATTATGATAAATTGAATATTCGTGATAATGATCATGATACTTCACATTTGTCCTTGGTTGTTCATGATGAGATGAGGGATATGCCTACTACTGCTAAGTTAATTAAAGGTTCTGTACAACTACAACGTGAAGTAGAAATAAATGCAGCTGCAGTTGCAGAAGGCATGCATACTTGTGAGACCGTCAGTGTGAGTGATCAGCATGTAGCCCGCCTATCATCAGATGCTATTGCTAAACCTGAGCTGATAGTAAAAGACAGCAGTGGTGGTGGTCCTGCATGTAGACAAATTTCTGAAAGTCGAGCAACAACAGCTTTTGATCCACCGCTAACTTCATCAACTGATATCAATCAGTCGTCGTTGATGCTGTCATCCACAATGAAACAGACGCCAATCAACTCAAGTATCTTGTGCAATGATTATGCTAGTATCAGTTCGTTTGGAAAGACGAATATCAATGGTCAGTTTAGTGAGGATAAGCCAAGTGTAAACGAGAGAGT